TACCCATCGCTTTCAACGGAGTGGTAGCTCTTGCAATCTCTCATTTACTTGATACAGCTGTCGTGGCTGTGACGGTTCCACCTGAAGACGGAAGCTTGTGTTGCCTCCGAAACGTCGTGATTTTTATTTTATTTTACTTTTATTAATTTTAATGTTTTACCTCCGTGACTTTACCGAAAAAACCTAAGAATACGTTTACAGACGGCAAACGATTATTGTCAGGCGGCGGGGACCATTTAACCTGACGTTCGAAGTCCACGTGTACTTTCAACAACACGAATGTAATGGCTCATGTTACGTGTAGGTTTTCACGACCGCTAATAATAGATATCATTATTGGGGGGGTGGGGAGGGTGGAGTTTGGATAAGATTGTGTCGGTGTGTCAGTTTTCAGCTGCCACCCTCCACTTCTCCGACGAGAGACAACATCTAATCGTTGTTGGTCAAGGTCATGGGCAAAATATGCCGAGAAGATTTGGTTCGTCAGCAAACCGAAAGGAGGAATGTTAAACGGGTAAGAGAAAAAAAGACAATTTCCGACGTTTCGCTGTTGATTACTTCCAGCATCATCAGGTTCCTGGCCCTGCGACTCGCATGCGTATTTCTGAAGGAACTTAAAACGTCGGTGGTTTTTAGTAGCCAACACTCTGAGCCGCGCTCGTTGTCCGGGTGAGGTCACGTAAGGAGGAGGTTCTTAATTCAAACAATTCCAATCATTAACCCTGCCGAGAATTCTTAACATACTCGCGAAAATCTGTGATGTATTGCCCCAGGTACGACTAACACCTTTGCAAACGTCGCAATCGTGTCCGGTGGCTGGAGGGTTTCTTGAGTAAAAAAGACAAAAACTACCACGTGGCCTCACCCAACAACCAGTACGGATCATCGCTGGGAACGTCCAAGTCAGACACAAATCTGGCAAAGAGCTGCCCCGCTCACGGGAGAAGGGAAGTGCCGCCTTTAATTATAGACCCAACTCGAGTCAACTCAAGCTGCCCTTCAAGGTGCCCTTGAACTCGAATCAACTAGAGCTACCCTTCCAACTCGAGCCGACTCAAGCTGCCCTTCAAGCTGCCCTTGAACTCGAATCAACTCAAGCTGCCGTTCAACTCGAGTCAACTCAAGCTGCCCTTCAAGCTGCCCTTGAACTCGAATCAACTAGAGCTACCGTTCAACTCGAGTCGACTCAAGCTGCCCTTCAAGCTGCCCTTGAACTCGAATCAACTAGAGCTACCGTTCAACTCGAGCCGACTCAAGCTGCCCTTCAAGCTGCCCTTGAACTCGAATCAACTAGAGCTACCGTTCAACTCGAGTCGACTCAAGCTGCCCTTCACGCTGCCCTTGAACTCGAATCAACTAGAGCTGCCCTTCCACCTCGAGCCGACTCAAGCTGCCCTTCAAGCTGCTCTTGAACTCGAATCAACTAGAGCTGCCCTTCCACCTCGAGCTGCCCCTCAACTCGAGCCGACTCAAGCTGGCGGTCTAAGGAAGCCGGGAACAGCGAACTGCTGGTGCGAGATGAACGGTCTATTGCGTGATCGTCTCGCGCTAAAGTTGCACCACGTGTTACGGCAAGAGGCTTAGATGCCGTTTGAGACCGCGGACATCGTCCAGAGGAGATCCACAAATATCACCGTGGTAGCACGAGAATGGTCTGCATCTAGCGGCCGTGCAAAGCGCCGAACCCTCGTTCATCCGTGGGCAGATTGTCGGGCGTTGCGGATTACCCGTGCTCATGGTTTTTTTTTCGGTAAAGTCACGTTGGTTAAAAAAGAAAACTAAATGAAGTCACGACGTTTCGGAGGCAACGCAAGCATCCGTCTTCAGTTGGAACCGTCACAGCAAAATTACTGTATCAGTACTGTATCAGCAAAATTACTGTATACACCTGAAGACGGAAGCTTGTGTTGCCTCCGAAACGGCGTGATTTAATTTAGTTGTTTTCTTTTTTTAACCCACGTGACTTTACCGAAAAACCCAAAGAGTATGGACCCTTGCAGTCACGAAAACTTCAAATCTAGAACACATAAATATTATTTGGTGACGATACGTCGGCAGTGGCGCTCAAGAACCAACAACAACACAACTGCACACGTTCATCGATATCACTGGTCAACACACTTTTTCTGGCATAAGGTATTCCAACGGTTTTAAGGTAATTTTGGGGTGCTGATTCCAAATCTATCGCATCAGGTTTTTGAGATATCAAATATTGCATTTTCAATAAAAACTGCAGAAGAAAAATATTAAATAACGTGGATATCTACATAAAATTATATTATAAACACACTATCCTAAAAATACAGCACCATATTTTAACACTAAAGCAGTCACTGACTCGCAGCAACTTGCAATCATAAGTGACAGAGTTAATTTCGGGTAAAATCAATGAAAATGGGGTATGCCGATAGCATAAAAATGAGATGTGATAGAGCAAATCTGAGATCAGATTTGGAATCAGCACCCTGAAATTAGTCTAAAACAGCTGCAAAAGTCCAGGCCAGAAAAAAATGTATTTTTTGTTGTTGACCAGTGTAACCCTGCAACCTTAAAAAAATATGTAATAGACGACGTTTCAGGCAATGGCCCTTCTTCACAGCACAAATAGGTCATAGAGGTAAGCAGGTGACCTCTGTGCCTTGAAGGGCCATCGCCTGAAACGTTGCCCATTATATACAGGGACTCCTCTACTTACGAACGAGTTAGGTTCCAGAGGTTTATTCGTAAGTACAACTTTACTCCTATCGATTCCAAACATGTTGCACGGCATGTGCACGAAACACGGGGAATGGCTTCAAAAGTTGTATCATCTCCTGTAGATGTAGATGCCACTGCTTCTTCACGTTCCGCAGATGTAGATGCCACCACCGCTAGATATTGCGCTGCGGTTAAACTTACGACTCTCGGTCCGAACAGGCAACTGGACATACGGACAGATTTGTTCGTATCTCTGAAAGTTCCTAAGTCGAATGCTCGTAAGTAGATGAGTCCCTGTAACCGCTTTCTCTTTAACCCAGTGTTATCGACGAAGATTTGTTTTAGCGGACAAAAAAAAAACCACGCCAGTTTATAAATACACGATGCAGTACAGGAATCCATGCTCCATCGGTGGACGTCTCACGCCGGGAGGGGAGAAATCGCCCGCGACCCTCAACTCGCCTCTCCGGGAGCAATCGCAACGGGCGGCACGACAAACACCATCTTCCACGTCCTCATCACCGTCCCACGTTGGTAAACGCGTTCATTTTTACACAACCCTCGCGTGCGGTGGTGAAAGAAGTTACAACATTTCGATTGAAAGCTTTCGTGACTGCAGGGATTCATCTTCTTGCTTCTTTCGGTAAAGTCACGTAGAAGGGAAGTAATAAAATAATAAAACATAATAAAATAATTCTCACGACATTTCGGCCACAACGCAAGCAGCCGCCCTCAGGTGAAGAACAGGTCTGTCGGAAAGACATTCAGACGCTGTCTTTTCGAAACCCGAGGACGACTGCTTGCGTTGTGGCCGAAACGTCGTGAGAATTATTGTATTGTTTATTTTTATTATTTTACTATTTCCCTTCTACGTGACTTTACCGAAAGAACCAAGAAGAAGTTACGACATGACGTGCGTTAACATCGCCGTGTTTTGATCGAGTGAGTGAACCTGCTGCATGGAACCCAATCGCCTCGTCGGGCCTGCCGTCTGTGAGCACGCTCGATTCGATACGAGGATGATTCCGGAGCCCGATATCGACAGCAGGCGTGCACTTTGTTCAAGCGAGCCTCACTCGCTCTGCCCGACGAGACGCAGAATAAATAACAAGAATAACCCGTAAAAACAAAGTTTTTCACTATAAATCCTTTATATGCGTGGCGGCTAGAGTCCTCTCGTCCTCTGGCTTGCGATGGCTGCCACCTATGGGTCAGATGATTGCATTGCACCATTAAGCAATTGGTAATTAAATTATATTTTTGTCCTAAAAAGTGTAAAATTTTGGAAAAAAAATTTCACGAAAATGCATTGTCACGCACAACGAGTCTGTGTGGAAAATGTCAGCTCGATTGGATCACGGTAAGTGGGTTAAAAAACGACCGAAAGATTTGCACGGTCGTAAGCAAGCAAGCGAACTTAAGATGAAGGATTTTAAAAATGGGGCACCACGGTGACGAGATGTTGACTACCTCGCCTGGTATACAGGAGGTCGGGGGTTTGATCCGGACCCCAATACCTGTATATTTGGAGTTTTCGGTATCTCTCTCCCCGTGGTCGAGTGGATTTTTTTCTCCGGACGCTGTTTTTTCTCTCCACGTTTAGAAGCACGGTCTTTCCGACAGACCTGTTCTTCGCCTGAAGACGGCTGTTTGCGTTGTGGCCGAAACGTCGTGAGAATTATGAAATTTTTATTATTTTATTATTTCCCTTCTACGTGACTTTACCAAAAAAAACAAAAAGATATTTCGCTACTGTTGTAAGTTTCCACGTGATAAGCCACTTCATTGAGATATAATTCCTGGCCAGGTCGCTTCTGAAAAAATATCTATATCGCTCAATGGGCCTTACCTTGCAAAATAAAAGGTAACAGTTTAATAATAGTTTAATTAAACCGGCGCACAGTTTTGCTCGTGTTCAACCCATGCTGCTGAACTTACGCACTCCCAGAAGAAAGGCTGTCTGGCCGATGGGATGTGCGCGGAAAAAATACAATTAAACACTTGTATTTATTTTCACGTGCAGGGACAGATGTGTGAAAGAGTAGGCGCGTCGCCAGCGCATTTGCTGTTTCTTGTATTCTCCAGAGCGGCACTGGCGGTGTCGTCGTGGCTAGATGGGGGCCGCGTCTCTCTTCGCTGGAATCTAACACCGGGGCCGATCGTTCAAGGCCTCCTCGGAAACGCACACCGCGATCCGCAACCATACACGCAGCAGCAACAACAACAAACAACAACAACAACAGACACATGCGTAAGGATTTGTTTAAAACGGGGGAAAAAAACGATAACGCTAAACAAAATAATAATTTCGCAGGCATTGTTCTGCGCAACATTTAATCAGCAACTACATTTTTTTTTGTACAAAAATATGACATCAGTTTTAAAATATAATGTTGCTTTTGTTATTTGGTGAGACTGTTTGGTGTGTGTGCGTGTGTGTGCGTGCGTGTGCACCTAGCCAGGCACAAGCGCCGTGGTGATGTCACCGCCACTTTTAGTGGCCAACGGCAGTTGTTGCTGTGTGTAGCAGTAGTAGTAGTCGTCGATGCAAGGGGGGGGGGGGGGGTCACAAACAAACACACACGCAAGCAGGCGCACACACACTGCGGTGCGACGTCAGTCTGGACGGTTTCGAATTCGCGAGCAGAGGACGGAGGAGGTACACCTCGCTTGGCGGCTGGCGGGCCCCGCTTGGCGAGCCCGGACGTCATTTATCCCGGCACCACGATTTCACCAAGCCGCCAAACGACATTTCTATCCGCCGTCGATGGGAGCATCCACAGACGCGGAGGAGAGGGGGGGGGGTGATATTTTCTCTGGATAATTTAGCGCGCACGCTCGAGTCACCTCTGTCACCGCAAGGAATGGCCCTTTGCAGTGACAGAAGCAACCAAGGTGTGCCGTATTCTTGTGTTTTTTTACCGAAAAAACCCAAGAATATGAATCCTTGCAGTCACGAAAGCTTCAAATCTAGCATCGAGGTGTGCGTGTCGAGGCGCACGTGTGTGGGGAGCGGTGGCGCAACGGTTAGGGCGCTGCGCGAGGAACCCGGCGACCAGAGTTCCATTCCCGCTCATGGCCACCAACACCGGTGACAATTATCTGAACCGGGCCTGGGCCTCCCCTAGGTCGAATCATCCTCAAATGAGTTGCCTGGGGCGATGTGAACATCGCCACTGGGGAGACAAAGGCGGCCGGGTGTGATGCTGGCATCCCTCAGCGTGGGGCATCCCGCAAGATCTGCCCAAGACAGAGCCCTGTGGCCGCCGGATGACCCCATCTCGCGGCCAGGCCTCAGATCGAGGGAGGGTCGAAAAGAAATGGGTTCGTCCGCGAGTGAGGAAGAGCTTCTACAGTTCTGGCTCGAGACGCGACTGTGCTGCGAGAGAAATAGATTCGCGCTAAATCCTACGTAACATTTCACGAAATCCTTTCACCTCGGCGCGTCACGGATAAACCCTGCAAACGAATTCGGCTTCTGCGCCCCACAGTAAGAGGAATGCCCATTTATACTTGACGACGATCTGTGACGAGAGCTTCAACCGCCTAGAGCGGCGCAGAACTAGTTGCCACCGTCGCTCAGTTTGAGAGAAACCGTCACTGGGAATCCATAAAAAAAAGTAGGAGAATTCAAAACGAAAATGCATCTGTGCAAGTCGAAAGTCGATCACCAAAGTCTAATCAAAATTGTTCATCCTCAACGGGGAGAAGCCGTGCGATGGTGGCGTTAGTCGTGTTCCCGATTGGAACCGTCTGCGATTGGACAGAAACGCATCCGCGTCACGTGTAGCTTACTTTGAGTGCACCCGTGATCACCGATTCTGAAATGCATTTATACAAACAAATAATCAAGTGCGCAAGATTATATTCTTCTCGTGAGCACGATACATTTTTTTCCGGACAATATTTCTGTCCTATCGAATTTCCTACGTTTACTAAAACAACGTAGCTCGTTAAGACTAAACGAGTTGCCATAAGGAGGCTTACACGTCAAGTTTTAAAATTATATGTCCGAGATGCAAAAAGAAAACCGTTTTGTCAAACGATCGTACAAATCACTATATAAATGTGCGTTCTATCCAAGTAATTTGTAAAATTTCACCAATTACTTTTCCCCAGGTGTGGTTAAGAAACGTTGGTGCTGCTCATTATTAAAAACCGTTCGCTCGAAGTAATGCTGATGCAGACATAGCACCAGGTGTTTTATCAATTGACTAAAAATTACGTAGCAGTATAATTCAGCCGATGTGAGCGGTGTCCGAAAACGCCCTCTTTTAAAAGTCCGCCAGCACTCCGCAAACGGAATGCCGTGGCGCCAGGGAACACGTTAGCTCCAAAAAAACATTTGCGCCCTCCCCCCCAGGAATCTACACGCAATTACATTCACACTTGATTGACCCGCCAAGTATCCACGCAGGAAATCCACACGCCGAGTCCCGGTTCCGGAGATGTCCTGCTAAGTTTCAGTCGGTGGCGATGTCGCCGCTCATTTGTTGCCAAAGCGAGGAGTTAAATTGCTACATTATTTGGAGTGCGAGACGTGCGCAACAGAGGTCGCAACCGGGTACCCGATACCCGTACCCCCTACCCGATACCCGGCTACCCGTACCCAGCCGGGTACGGGTACCCGTTTGCGACCCTGGTGCGGCCGGGTACGGGTACAGATAGACCGTGAGTCACTGGTGAGTAACCGTTTGTCACTCATTTCCCAACGTCTTGTCTCTTCTCACAATTCAAGTTCCTAGAATCAACCCACCCGCGCCTGCAACATGGCTTCATCCCAGAGGTCGCAATCAGGTACCCGATACACGTACGGCCGGGTACGGGTAGAGAACGGGTACGGCCGGGTACGGGTACACGTTTCCGACCCTGGTGCGACCGGGTACGGGTAAGGAATCAAAACCCGTTTGCGACCTCTGACGCGCAATGGGCGAATCTTTTTCAAACGCCGCAACGAGGTGGGGGGGGGGGGGCCCTGTATGGTCTGCTGCGAAGCAAACGGCGCCGAGTATATTTCGACGCGGTTTTAACCGGGGGGCGCGGCTGCGCGACTCGAAACCGTGAATCTTCCGCCACAAACGAGCGGCGGGGCCGCGCCGACGCCATTGCGGCCGAGGGGTCACTCTGGATCGGCTTCTAAAACAAAAAAATATATCTTTGGAATTCCAACGCTGTAAAAATGAAAAACCCTCAAAATGCGCATTGTCTCAATTGTCTCGTTGCACGTGATTGTTACGTAACGTCACATGCAAGACAAAAGCCTGTTGCATGCAAGTACATTTGTGTGCGTGTGTGAGCGCGCGTGTGCTGTGGTGACGTCACCGCCACTTGGTGGCGGGTGGCGGCTGCTGCTGCTGCTGTTGTTGTTGGGCTTGTGTTGTCCGTGCAAATACATACTGGGTGTGAAAATCAAAAACAGCACCACGCACACCAGAATCAAATTCAAACAAACACGCAACAAATAATTTCAAGATTACCATCATCCTTCCAGCCATGCGTTAATCACCCTGTCGTCACCAACACCCCCCTCCCACCATCCTTATGGGGGCCATCTCAACGAAAATGTACAACAGCATCGCCACGCACGCGGTCTGCCCACCCCAAACCGAGAGCCAACGCTCAATCCCCCATTGTGGGCTCCCGTGTCCCGCCTCGTAAATAATCCAGCAACGCGGCCTCATCTTACAAAGCAAAGCTTCAAAAACAGCCACAAGACTCAAATCTCCACCTACACACACACACAAAATATATACGTTTGCATCCGCACGAGACTATTCAAGAACACCCGTGTTAGTGTCGTCAGCCGGCAACGGGATGCTCTGCTGGCACTCATCGTCGGCCGTGCCTCACCGTTGGAATCCCGACGATGACAAAGGACGCGTTTACCCGTTCCCAACGAACCGTATTGACAAGTCGTGACCGCTTTTAAAATTCAAACGCCTCCCGGTCCCGCGCAAGGCACGCACGCACGCACGGTTTCGTTTCTCGCGGTCAGGTGGAGAGGAGTGCGGGTGGGGGGGGGAGGGCAACGGGAAACGGTTAGATACTACGGCCATCGATTAAACCGGGGATTTTATCGCCCTCGCCACCCCATTGTTGTTGTTGTTGCTGCGTGTCGAGGAATCTCAACGATGAACGCGCCGCTCGACGCCGAGTGGCGGCGTCTCTGCCGAAGCCCAAGACGCCATCGAAGCTCGCCGCAGAATCCACGCACGCACACAAGGGGCGGAGGGGCACACGCACGCAGTCTCGCGGTGCCGAAACCCTAAGCTTCGCTTGCCCGCCCGCCTGCCCGCGAAGAGAGAGTGGAAATTCTACATTCCTATGCCGAGGGCCAGTGCCTGAACAGGACGACCGTGTTATCGAACAGCACGAGAAGACAACTGGCCCAGTCGACCTCCCCCCCCGAGCAACTGTGCGTTGATGACCACACGGAACGATGACGTAACGCCCACGCCTCGAAAAATAAAAATTCACAGATGCAGTACTTGATGATAACGGCCGATGAGTGCAAGGGTCTCCCCACTCATACGGGCACGGGGCAGCGCTCGGTCACGTGGACATTCCACGTTACCATTGCCGAGGCCAGTCTTTCCACAGGTATTTATGACAGTAATAATAATAACAAACGGTACTAATAAAACCGAAGAGCCTGGGTCCGACTACATAAAACAAATTGCTCAAGAGTTTTATCCCTTCCGTCTCTCGGTCTCGCTCTCTCTCTCTCTCAGTCACCCTTTTTCCATTGCCAAATCAAAGCCGTGCCAGGGTGGGCCTCTCACAGTACGGAAATGTTTTCTCAAAGCCTTTGGGCCGAGCAGAGCCAGAATCAAAACCGTGCCACGCTGCTGGCCTCGCGACAAGAAGTGTGAATCTAGCTCGGGGCCCAGCAGGGCCGGGGGGGGGGGGGGAGCCGACGATGCTTCCGCCGCGTGCGACGTCAGTTCGGTGACACGGCTTTCACTCATCTGGTCTTATTATCTCAGTGGCACGGCTCGGCTTCCGCAGTGTAAAAAAGAAACCTGGCTCTTCCCGACGTCACGCCGGGCTGGCTCAGAATGAGCCCCAGAGAGGGGAGATCGGATGCACCAGCGAGGAGAGGAGAGAAGGGAAAGAAGGGGAAAGAAATAAAACAAAAGAAAAAAAACACATCCATCTCTCTCTCTGCCAGCCGGCGCTCTTCCAACCGCCAACTGGCATCAGGGCCCACGGCTCCGGCGGCAGGAGGGGAGCGGCTAGGCGCCGGTGATTTCGCTGGACACGAAGTACCGCAGGCGCTCCAGGTACTGTCCGTAGAGCTCCACGTCGTTGTGGCCGGCGCCCTCCACCCAGAGCGGCTCGACGGGGCGCTGGCAGCGCTCGTACATGGCCAGGCCGTGCGAGAAGTCGATCACCTCGTCCTCCGTGCCGTGGATCACCAGCACCGGCGACGTCACCTTCGACATCTTGTCAATGCTGCCAGAGGTCAACCGGGGAAGTGTGGGGTAGACGGAGGGTGACAGGGGACAAAGGTTAACAGAGTCGGCGCTTCGCTTGTCTGTCGCTCATTGCGGTGTCAGTCCGTCGGCCCGATTTCTGTTGTGCGGTCTCGAGGAGTGAGGATTCAAGGATCCAGGGACTGTTGGGTACTATTCCGTGGGCTGGTGGGTGGGCGAGTGAGCGAGCGAGAGAATGGGCGACCGAGAGAATGGGTGAGCGAGCGAGAGACTGCACATGTGGAAGGGTAAGTGGGCAAGCGAGCGGGTGAGCGAAAGAGAGAACGGGAAAGCGAGCGAGAGACTGGACAAGTGGGAGGGCGAGTGACTGGACGGGCGGATGGGCGAGCGAGCCAGAGAGAGAATGGGCGAGCGAGCGAGAGACTGGACAGGTAGAAGGATGAGTAAGTGGGCGAGCGAGCGGGTGACCGAAAGAGAGAACGGGAAAGCGAGCGAGAGACTGGACAAGTGGGAGGGGGCGAGTGACTGGGCGGGCGGATGGGCGAGCGACCCAGGGAGAGAATGGGCGAGCGAGCGAGAGACTGGAGAGGTGGGAGGGGAGAGACAGATCGAGCGGGCGGGCACCTGGGGAATACGTCGAAGCAGTGCGTCTTCTTGGTGTCGGGGAAGGCGACACGCATGCCCGACATGAGCGGCGAGTGGAGCACAACGGCGGCGCACTCGTAGCGCGACGCCAGGTCCACCGTGGGCACCGTGCCGATGCTCTGCCCGTACAGGATCACGTTCTCCGGGCTGATGCCGTACCTGCACGCAGCGAGCATCCAAGCAGAGGCACGGAGACAGAGACGAGGATAAAAGGTCCCTCCCCACGTAGCCTTTAGCGGACCGCCGGGGCGAGTGCTGCGAGCGAGCGGCTATGAAGACCGGCACGACGCACGAGGTGGTGGGCGGCCAGCACCGCGTGGGGCCGTCTTTATCTCCCCAATGCCGATGTTGTGAGCGCGTTGTACTGGACCCTCATTTAAAACCCACGCGTGCAAGGGCAGCAACACCCTATCCCATACAAATGTAACAGATGGTAATATCCGCACTTTGCTGTACCGCCTCCTCCTGGCGAGCCAGGGCATGGCACCTGCATGGCCACGGGTTCGGGAGTTTCACGACATTTGCACGATCCGCCAACCCTCGCGGCCTGCACAGTGCTGGACTAGTGCCGTGCGGCGCCACCATAGCTCCATCTCCTCACTGGATGTGCACTCGAGCGTGCTTTCTCCTTTGGCATCCGGCCATCATCCTTTTGCTCGGGATAGCATCATCTAACTGAAGCATTTGTTAGATCTGTTATAAATAAATACATTGCAATAACTTTTCCTCCAGCAGTGGAGGCAGGCACGGGAGACGGGGGGGGGGGGGGGGTTCGAGTCCACAGGAAGCTTACAGACAAAGTGCTGCGGAGAGAAACAAGTCCTTGCCGGGGCCGTACCGAGAACAGCGCTGCACGGCCTGGATCCCGATTCTAACAGCTGTGGAAACGCCGCCATAGCAGCAGCAGCAGCAGATAAGGAGCAGCAGATCAGCAGCAGTTCAGCAGCAGTAGGTCAGCAACAGATCAGCAGCAGCAGATCAGCAGCAGCAGATCAGCAGCAGCAGATCAACAGCAGCAGTTCAGCAACAGCAGATCAACAGCAGCCAATCAACAGCAGCAGTTCAGCAACAGCAGAAGCACATAAGCAGCAGCAGATCAGCAGCAGTTCAGCAGCAGATCAGCAGCAGTTCAGCAGCAGTTCAGCAGCAGAACAGCAGCAGCAGCAGCCGTTGAGCAGGTTACACGGTTTCCTTGGTACCCTAAGCAGGCAGCTTGCCGCCGTGGCAGTCGGCTGCGAGGGAGGGTCAGCGGCCGTGCGCCCAGCAACATGCACCTGCGGGGTTGCGCGCACGTGACATCACCAGGGCTGCCGCCAAGAGGCTTTTGGACGTCCGGGGCAAAGTGCCAGATTAGGCCCCCTAACCGAAAGCCCCCCTCTGTAATATCTGCGTCGCCCATGATAACTGCCCCAACAGCCCCCCCCCGCCCCTCCACGACCCCCAACCCCATCTCAACAGCCCTATGCGTCACCAGCACTTGAACCACAGCGCCAATCGATGAGTCAAGTGTTTGTCGCTCGGCCGAAGACAGCGAGCGCGGTAACGGAAGGTTTCCGAGTTCGCACCCTGGTTGTGGTGATTCGCCAGACCCATCAGCTCTCTGGGGTTGATAAAAAAACAACGAGCACTGCTTTTGTGCTGCGGAAGCCAACGGCGGTTTGTTCTCGCGGACAGACTCGCCCAGACCATAAAAAACGTGGAATCTCCACCACTTTGGGCTGTAAAAACGGGAGACGAGCGAGCGACCCGCCGCCTTCCACGTTCCTTCGAGGAGCAAAATTGATTTCGCTCGGACATTTCACTCGCTGGCAAGCGGAGAGCGCGTTAGGCGACAACGCCGCCGACGCTCGAGTGTCAGCCCCGTGGGTGGGTGGGGGGGGGGGGGGAGCGGTTCAAGTGCTCTCGAGTTGCCTTCGGTCAATACCACACGGCGGCTCTTCTGGCACGCGCGGCGCCAGCGGTAACACGGGGGCGTGGAGGCGGCCGTACGGCTCCCGAGGTCAGGGGCTGCCGAGTACGGGTTTGACTCCGGGTTTATAAGCCACCCAGCCACCCAGCCGCGACTGAAGCTGGTTTCTCAGGTGTAGCGGAGTTGAGATGTCTCGGCCCGGTCACCAATCGCTTACAAGCAAGACTTTGCACGCCTGCGTAGAGACGGCCCGACTTAGGTAGAGGCCAAAGGTTCTAGATTTGAAGCTTTCGTGACTGCAAGGATTCATATTCTTAGGTTTTTTTCGGTAAAGTCACGTAGGTAAAAAATAGAAATTAATAAAAGTAAAATAAAATAAAAATCACGACGTTTCGGAGGCAACACAAGCTTCTGTCTTCAGGTGGAACCGTCACAGCCCGACAGCTGTATCAAGTACGTGACTTTACCGAAAAAACCTAAGAATATGAATAAGAGGCCAAAGGCTCGCACAGAGACCCACAGATCCGCACAGAGACCCAAAGATAGACCGAGTCGAGATCAAATGACGGTTCTCCAGTGCAGTAAGTAGGTGGCCTCAGCCCCAGTCGCCAACGACTGCACGGAAGAACACCCATCAAATTACTTTTGTCCGGCATTTAATTTTTATAAATTCCAGCTCTAAAAACGAAAAATATGAGTTTGGCTGTCACGTGGCAAATATTGCTGTGGGTCTGAAACAAATGAAATTTGGTGATACTGTACTTGGCAGTGGTGCACAAGCACAAATAATATGAATAAAAAAAAAGAAAACACATTAGTGAACAACACTATGGCCTTAAAGCGAGAAGGTGTATGGCCTATGGGTGGGGTATTGAACCCTATTACTGTGTAGATCCTAAACTATTAAAACATATATATTTTAGGTGGTAAGCTCGCTCCACTGAGCTTTATAGCATTTTTTCAGAAGCGACCTGGCCACAAATGATAGCTTATCATCATGTTGAAATGTATAGCAGCCAACGACTCTAAAACACATGTTTCTAAATGTGGCGGGAAAAACGGGAGGACCCGGAGAAAAATCCACACGACCACGCGGAGAGAGAAAGGCAAACTCCAAATAAACAGACGTCGGGGGCTGGGATGGAACCCATGACCTCCTGCATACCAGGCGAGAAAGTTAACATCTCCAAACCGTGGCGCCCCAGATCAGATGTCCCTCCAAGGGATCTCAGAAGTAGTTTTGCGATATCCGCTTCTTCGGGGTCATTTCCCCTATAACGTGGAGGGCAGCAGCACACCGCGAGACATCCGCATGAATCGTTTGTCCCGTGACACAACACTGACAGCACAACCTGGATAAGATTGCCTTAAATTTGTAATTAGTCAAATATAATTTTCAAAAGGGTATTTTGAGTTGCGTTCAATCGACACCACTTTCGTTCATCCCGTGACACGACACGGACAGCACGACCGGGATAAGATTGCCTAAAAATTGTAATTAGAAAAATATTATTTTCAAAAGGGTATTTTGAGTTGCGTTCAATCGACACCACTTTCGTTCGTCCCGTGACACGACACGGACAGCACGACCGGGATAAGATTGCCTTAAATTTGTAATTAGTAAAATATTTGATTTCAAAAGGGTATTTTGAGTTGCGTTCAATCGACACCACTTGCTACTGGCCGTACGATTTTCGGAGCGCAAATTTTATTCGAGTGTTGACAAAACACGGCGATTAACGCCGCCTATGGCAACGACCGCTCGCCGGTTAAACATTAACGGGGTTTAATTTCAGCGCCTTTATCGCGTGGACAGTAAAAGCAGGGCCGGGTCACATTCTCCAAGCCGCCCACCATTGACTCTCCCCCCCCCACCACCCCCAGCGTTTCCCGTGAGCCGCAAGGGGGCCGACTCGGCGATTGAAAACCAACGTCCCGACAACGGGAGGAGCGACGACCCAGCGTGAAACATTTCACGCCCGCACGAGACTCGGTCATCAGGAGCGGCGGTGAGGGAGAGGGGAGATGGCACGCCCCCACCCCCCATGGTTTTTTTGTGCTCTCAAGTCCACGATCAACGTCAGCCGGTTTTCTCCGGGCTGAGGTCCAAATGCCAACACAGCCAAATTCTTGACAACTGCTTTTTTTCGTGTTCGGTTTGTTGTCCTTCCGCCGCACCTCCGATTAGCACGGTTGGGCTACGCAAGGGGTGAAAGTAGTTCAACGTGCATTCGTACAGCTCAAAGCTAACGTTTCATTTACATTTGATCATTCTCTACTAGGGTTACCGTGCCACCACCTCTCCCCCACCCACTTCAGATAGACGAACACAGCGAGAGGGCACTATCGATTTCAATCCAAGTTGGAAAGCTACGTAATGCTAAGAGTCATCTCGAGCGGCTGTAAATATTGAACTGTAACCACGGTATCTTGCAACTTTTTGCTGCTATTCAGACACGTAACCGCAAACCTCTGGGTCCAGAGTTTACTGCTTGGAGGAAAACTCCAGTGAGCCCGGCCGACCTCGGCTTTGACGCCTTCGGCCCGATGGGTGAGCGTCGCAAAAACCTCGTTTAGAGGTGGCCCAAGTGGCTCAGGGAGTCAGAGATTCCGAAGCCGCTGAGTGCCCGAGTTTGAGTCCAGGTCTTAGCCGCTGCCCGTGGTCGAACCGCGCTCTCGCGTGCGGCGAGCCCAACGTGCCAGCCCGGTTATCAATGACTGCACCAAAAATTCCGGCACGCTCAGAGTACGGCTCTGCGCTCCACTTTGATAAATTGCAGCTCTTTTGAGAATGAAAAAATACCAGTTTGGCCGTCTTGCGACGAGTGTTGTTGTCCCCCGTCGCAGGGTGTGTGAGAAAGTGCAGCCCCCCCCCCCCCCCCCCCCCCCACTTCGTAACTTGAGTGCATCTCAAATGAATTGTTGCACTGTACTTCTGCGCTCCGGGCGGCTTCAGCGTACAGGGATGTGCGCTGCCTCAAGCTGAATGAGACAAAGTTCCTCGTGCTCTCTGTTGACAAACACCCCTTTATGGTTTCTTTGTCATTGTCCAAAAAGGTTTAAATTAGACACTTCCTAAACGCAGGATTTAAACAATGAGGCGGCCCCGGTGGCTCAGAGGTCACGGCGGCCGAGTTGGCACCGCGAGTATCCTGGGTTCGAATCCGTGCGTGGTTAAACCGGATTCTCAAGTGCAACGAGTCGATGACGATCTCAGCCTCGGTCAAATCAATGTCTTGCAGAGAGACCC